TTGCAACAATTGCAAAGAAGAACCACACACCCCCGTCTCAACTCGTGTGGGCCTTGGTGTCTGGCGGCTGCTCATCTCGGACCGCGCCTTCCTTTCAACATGCTCCCGCTACACCTCCTCAACACCTCAACAGAGCCTGTGTCGCAAGCACCGGCACCCGGACAGACCTCTGTTGCACCAAAGCATCCAACGCCCCTGGTCCCGTCCAAACAAACCGCTCCAATTGCACACAGCTCATCCCCCCAAGGGAAAAAAAAAAAATCATAATTCGAGCCGAGAGATTCATCCAACCTTTCCTCTCGCACGAGCGTTCCGTACAAACCTTGCGTGTGCAGCGACCCCCTACATCACCCCCTTCACCCGCGCCCATGGTTTCCCCAGACTTTTGTGTGCTTGATGTGACGCCTGTTTTTGTGATATGTCAGCCGGACTAGCTTCAATCTGCCACGGCGTCCGGCGGTCGACAACGGGCGCCACCACAACCACCATTCAGGGACGAGGAATCTGACAACCTGTCGGTGGTTCGGGAATACTCCATCAGGAAAAAAAAAAAAAAAAAAAAAAAAAAAAAAAAAAAAAAAAAAAAAAAAGCAGAAGACACGGCCACGCCAACGGCAACGACAGGCAGCACACCCAAAAGCAGAAACAAGCCTTTCCGCGCGGTCTTCACGGCGTTGGCGCCCCGATCCCTGCCACCCACCCATCTCCCCTTCTTCTTTTCCCTCCGAGACACAGAAAAAAACTCGACTGAGATGTGCAGCCTGCATCGAACGATTCTGCGGGCTACCGGAGACCGGAGGCTTCCATTGGCGCCTGAACCTTCTGCGCAGCCACGCCCGAGAAAGCAAGATTCTGTTTGGGATGGCTGCTGCCCGTCCATCCAGCCCCCGCGGCGGCACATCGAACGTCCCGGGGCGCGGAGAGGGTGTGCTCGTCAATGGGCTCGATTTCCAATAGCAGCCTGTGACCAATGATGTGTCCTTTGGTGAATTGATAGCGTATGCAGCAGAAGCAAGCAGCAAGCTGCAGAACGACACAGCACAGCGGAGACCCGGATCTCGTGAGGCCAAGGAAAAGACGTCGTATCCCTCTGGCGAGATGTCCGTTTCCCGCCCGAACCATGCCTACCCAACGCCCCCACGGAGGAAAGGCAACCTGGGTCCCAGTGGTCGTGCATCGCATTGCATCAGATGCGCCGGGGATTCAACTACGCCCTGGGGCACCCCCAGCTCTGCCTGCCTGCCATACAAGGTAACTCGACGTCGGGAAGCACGTCTTGTCTGCCCTCGAATCGAGTCTTCCCCAGGCAGTCAGTCTTGATGTCTGCGGGGAGAAGCAATCGTCGAAACCCTTATGTCCCAGCTTCAGCTTCTTTGCCAACTACCACGGCCGCCCAGGTCCTGAACATTTCTATGATTCCCATTAGTTGGTTTCCCCGGACTTTAGGATACTTTGGTCAAAGTGATCGTCCGTCCCGCCGTCAACGGCAAAGCGGGAGCGCGCTTCGCGCTCCTCCGTCGCTCACTGTCACTGTCCCCCCTCGTCGTCTCCTTCCGGTTGTAGACGGCCGCCGCTGGTGGGTGGGATGTGCTGCCGATAGCGGCGCTTCAAGGCGAGAAAAATGGGTGGGAAACCCGCCTGTATGCCCGGCCGCCCTCCCCTCCTCCAGGCCTGCTCCACACGTCCATCAGCGCTCTCTCGGGTTTTCAGCGTTGTGCCGTGGAGCTCCACCGTCCTCACTTTGCATTGTCAAGCTCTTCATTGCTCCTCTTGGCGCGCCTCCCGCCTCCGTTGTCGGGACTCGGGAACCAGGTGTGGTCGGCTTTGGACCGTTTCTGGGCACTGCTCGTCCGATGTCTGTTCCTGCTGCTGCATTCCCGACGCGGGCGGCTGGGCGGGATCGCCGCTCGCGCGGGTTTGGGTTTGATTGAGACCTGACCTGGCCCGGTCGAGTTATCCGGTCCGCTAGCAGAGAAAAACTCTGGAGGGAAAAACATCCCGAGGCGCGGCACTGAGTGCACCGTTTGAGGTAAAATCCGCTCCCCCCGCATGAACCGCCCGGTCCGGTCGGGGGAGGATGTGAATTATTAATCTGGGTTGACGACATGCGATTGAAGCGCCGTGGAGTGTCGGCAGACGTGTCTGACAATTGCCACATTTTCTCCGACAACACGCCTTGGTGGTTTACTTTCTTGTTTTCGTGGGATTGTAGAGGACCTTAATCTGTCTTTGCCTTTTCCAATTGACTGAGCCACGGCCAACTCCTTTAACGGAGGTTATTTCTATTCGCAAGTCTGCGTGACTCGAGCCTCCCTCTTGAGGACCCCAGTGAGAGGGAGCTTGGGAAATAAATCTGCCGCCCATGCATCCCAAGCCTACAAGGTACTCTCGTCTACTCTTAGCATCTGGATCTTTCAGCCCCGTGCAATTATCTGTTTAGACGCCCCCTCTGGCTGACGTGGCTCTTAGTAGCCAGTCGTCAGCTTTTTCAACCTGCCTCATAATTAGGGCTCTTGGGCCTTCTTATCTCGGGGCTTCATGAGACGCCTGTAAGATTCTATGACGACGCATGCATATTCGTAGCCAAATCCTACTGGGGGGTTCATGCATTAGCAAATACTTTGGAGGATTCCTTTCTTTGTGAGTCTTCGTATTTTCAACAAGCTTTGTCAGGACGTCCCAGCGATACTCCTTCTAGTGCACTGGTAACGACCCAGCTAAGACGCCTAGTAATTCTGGCAACTGTCACAATCATCAACGAGAATATGAGAGCCAAAAGGCGTGAGGAATTGCTCAGAACTCAGCTACTTTTATTTGCAAAAGCGTGAAATGTTAGAGACAATACCCGTAGAGGGGGTAAGTCTCTCAGCCTTTTCTTCCTGTTCTTTCTGCTCCTATCCTTCTGATTCTTCATCTATCCTGTCGCCTAGAACAAGTCCGTAGCTCTAACGGAGTGATACGGGAGAGCAAGCCTTCCCTTTTAATATGAACATAGGAACTTAACTCTTGTTTCGCCCAGTAAGTCAGGCTGTATGAATGCGGCGGCTGGGTTCATCCAACAATAGTCGTTGAAGCTCTACGACTGTTACGCCTGATCCGAGGCCTCCAAATGGTGTGGTTTTCAGATCCCACGGCCTTGACAGGCTTCTGCAAATCGTTCTATCGTCTTATGAACTCTCAGCTACTGTTCTTCATCCTATCCTTATTTGTATCTCCGGCAATGAAGCATGTGGGAGTATCTGTCATGGCTTGCTTCTCCGGGAACGAGAGGCCTCAAAGTCTCGTCATGCTAGCCCAGTGCCTCTTCCAGCCGAACTCCAACTATGCCATCCGCGCCGCTGTCTTCCTCCTCCCTGTGCCACCCCAATCATCTAGCACACGCTCCTGCCGCGGATGTCGCAGATGCTGACGCAGTTGGTGCTCTCGTCGTATCCCTCATTGCAGTCGCATCTGCCGGTGTTGACGATGGTGCAGCAGCATGACTGGAGCACACGAAAGTCGGACTGCTTCTTTTCCGTTCTTGCGACTCGGTGGTTTGTCGATGAACATGTGCTCTCGAGGACGTAGTTTGGGCGACCGCGGAGAATGATTCGCGATAGGGGAAGAGAAGGAAGCGCTAGACGTACCTTGGCTGCAACACTGCTGACGAGGGCGAAGGTGGCGACGACGACGAGGGCGGATTTTGTTTTGTGCTTGGACGAGTGCAAGGTCCTAGGTTGAAATGGAGGAGGTGATGCTTTCCGCTGACTTGACTGAGATGTTGATGTTTTCGAACTAGTTTACCATCACCAGCAGAATTTGGGGCTTTTTTTTTTTTTGGGCGGCGTCTAAGTACCCGGATCACATCTTACGATCACCATCCTCACGCCATATCTCTGGCTTGACTCATAGTCGTGTAAGGCAATCGAGGCTCAAAGAGTATAATAGATTACCATTGGGACTCCTCGGAAACCGGAGAATAGGAGATTGTGTCTTATGTTGGGTTGCCTTCGGCTGGATGGTTCCGTAACTAAGCGGGATTGCTCCATACGAGCAAATTCGGGGAACTTACAGCTTCGGGACCAATCAGAGCGGTATCGCGGAAAGCCTTCCTACTACCCTACCGCTTGACGGCGCTGGGGCCATCACGTCTTCGGGCTCGCCGGATAAGCAGGCGCAGCCGTCGCTCGGTAGCTTCTACCTAAGCGCTCTCTTCCATTCGGATAAATTTCCCTACAGATTCGTTGCCAAGTCCTTTTCAGACTTGATTGACTGAGTGGATGTTCTTTTCGAACTTTCGGGAATTTGAGCAAATACTGAGCTACTACGCCCTTCGACAATAGCCAGTCCGTTTTGCTCAAAGCTGACTTTGGAGATAACCTGATATCGTCACCAGCGAAGTTCAAGACTGCTCGAAATTGCGGACCAGGTCGCGAAGATGGCAGAATGATTAGCCAAAGAAAAACAGACGTGAAATCAAGCAATGAGGCTGATGACCGAAACTAACGGTCTCCCGGAACCGGACTTAAGACGTCTGGAACGCCTCATACCTAAGACTACGTGCTTACATAAGGCCAACATTATTGCTGTTCGTAAACTCAGTCAACCCCTGAATGATTATTCAAAGGAACGAATTCTGGATACCAGGGAATTCTTGAACTGTTATTCAATTACTCAAAATCATATGGTTCATTTCGTCATAGGTGCTGACGAAGTGACGCCGACATGGGCTTGTAAGCTTTTGACCAATCACACGAACCCAATCACATCATCCAAGAAAAAAAGGGGACCCACCAAAAAAGTTGAAGCAAAATCCAACTGTCATCGCATCCCAAGCTCCCGGCTCCGTTGCGCCAGCGCATTCAATGCGGCATAACCACCCCGCAAACAAACAAACAAACCACGCCACGACCGATTGAAGGCCGCCGACCGGGTCATCTTTAAGTAGACAGTACCCGCCCGCCACCGATCTCCTCCCCTCTACTCTAGGTAAGCATCATCGCCGCCCTCCATCCTCAACCATGTCCACCGCAACCACAGACCTACCAGACCTCATCCTCCTAACGCAACCCGCACAGCCGCCTCCCGTCAGAATGGCAGACCCAAAGGACGGCGACACGTGTCCCGTCGACCACAAGGCCCGCGAAGCCTGGCTCCAACACGCCCGCGCCGCGGGCCCGAACGACGCCGCCACCTCTCCAGCCCCGCCGCATCCGATCCCGAACGAGACCCCGCCGTCGCAGTCGTGGACGCAGTCCCTCCTCTCGTACACGCCCTTCTCCGGCACATCATCACAGACGACGCCAACGGCGGGAGCAGACGCGTGCCCCGTGGACCATAAATCTCGCGAAGCCTGGCTCCAACAAGCCCGCGCCGCCAACGCCGCCGCCGCTCCTCACCCAGACTCCCCGCCGCACGCCCTCCCTCCCCAAGCGCAACAATCACCGCCCTCTACCACATCCTGGACGCAAACGCTCCGCTCTTACGTCCCCTTCACCTCTTCGCCACCTCCCCCTCCCGCGCAACCATCACCGACGGGAAGAAATCCCCTCGACACCTACCGCGAAGTCTCCACGATCCCGCGCACCTCGACCTCGAGCTACCCCTACGACACCCCCTCCGCCTCCGCGCCGCCGCCGACGACGTTACAAAGCAGCCACGGCGCACCATCAAACAACGAGCAGGAAACGGGCGCGGACGCCGCGACGGGGAACTGGGTGTACCCCTCGGAAAAGATGTTCTTCGAGGCCATGAAGCGCAAGGGGCACGACACGCGCGCGGCGGACATGCGTACCGTTGTGCCGATCCACAACGCGGTGAATGAGAGGGCGTGGAAGGAGATTAAAGAGTGGGAGGCGCCGTATACGCAGGGGACCGCGTGAGTACCACCAGCCTGGAGGAACCACCAAACTCGGGGATGTGAGAATGCTGACGAAAAGAATAACACAGCTGCGACGGCCCGCGCCTGCACTCCTTCGCCGGCCTCAGCACAAACATGTCCCCCAAGGCACGGCTCAACACGCTGCTGGGCTACCAGGCGCCGTTTGACCGGCACGACTGGGTGATTGACCGCTGCGGCGTGCAGGTGGATTATGTGATTGACTTTTACGCGGGGCGGCCTGACGCGCAGGGGAAGCCGAGCTTCTACCTGGACGTAAGGCCGAAGCTGAATAGCTGGGAGGGGGTGAAGATGAGGGCGTTGAGAGGGGCCGGGCTGGCGTGAGAGAGAGGTGTAGTTGCGCCAGGGAGTGTAAGCATGGCGTGTGGATGTATTGATAGCGGGGTTGTGCTGATATTGTACTTGTAATAGACGTAGATGCCTTGGGGGCATGGTCTTCCCACTCAGACACTGTACAAAATATTCCCGAGATGGGAGGATATCACGAGAGTGGCCGTGTGGAGGGCCACTAAAAAGATCGATCTCGAAAGGTTGTGGCCAGCAGGCCTGCATATTCCGGCATCATTGTCAGAGATGGAGGGAACGAGGTGAAGGGGCACCTGCCTCCAGACTGAGACCTACCTTCATCAAGAACTTAGGGTTCCTTCCTCTCCAACAATTCCGGCTAGGTGGTCGAGAGGTGGTGGTACGGTGACTGGTGTGTGCGTGAAGTTTCCGCCGCTTCTCATCTTACGCATCGTTCGACCCGCGTTCTAGTCACTCTTTTTGGTCTTTTTGCGTCTCTTCTCATCTGAGCGGCCAGACATGGTAGGAATGGAGGTCCGGGGTGCTCCTACCTGGAAGTGACCACTCTGTACCTCTTTGCCAGGGAAGGAGCAACCTGGGAGGTGGGCATCAGTCTACAACGTATGTGAAAGAGCGATCTTGTGGGCTTAATGAGTAAACCAGTTGATGTGTATTTCTGAGAATCATGACATATCATCAAAGGGCAATGAGAAATAGCAAACAATGCCTTTCAGGCTTTATTGGTATCTCATGGTGCAAGTGATTGTGCAAACATTTCCTTTCGTCCTTATACCAGTCCTGAACGCCAGATCCCTGATTCTTTGTGATTGATCTTCACCCCGCGGGATACACTCCATGCAATATGAGCCGTGTCTACAGATCCTTCTTACCATCAACGTCTTCATTTGGGGGCAACATCCATGCAGCAGAAGTATCCAGGCTGACGTCGCCCTGAACCCAGCCCGCGCGAGCCAGGTGAGAAGGGTTGGCGATAATCTTCTCAACGTAGTCCCTTTCCGGGTCATTGTCAGGCATCATGGAGTGGACCAGAGACACCGCTGAAAACCAGGCATAAAGGGTCGTGGTGCTGATGCCCTCTGACAAAGGGTGTCCAAAGAGAAGGATCTTGATGACCACCAGACCTGAGGTGTTACACTGGCAGAGCTTATACTGCTTAGTCTCTTTAAGAACCACGGATCCGGGGGCCATGGCATCAGCGTAGCTCTTGGCGAAGACAATCTTGGCAAAGGGGCGGCCGTCGCGGTAGATAACGGGCTTCCAGAAGATGATGTTCTCCCTCTTCGCGACCTCAGCAGGCGTCAGCCTAACATTGCCCATAGTCTTCATGTACTCCTCGAAGAAGATGGTGGCGCGCTGCTGGTTGAAGTTGTTAAGCTGAACGCAGCGGACGCCGAGGTAGTTCATTCCGAGATGGACGAAAACGAGAATGATCATCAGCGCAAAGACGGCCTCTCTGCTCTCCACGTGGCGCACGACGAAGCTGCCGACGATCAATCCGATCAGCCCAACAGCCGTCTCCTGCGACGACTCCTTGGCGTTGAGCTCGCTGAGGTTGCCGCGGAGGGCAAAGTGCTTCGACAGCGCGGCCTTGCTCGCGCCGGCGGCGACGCCGCACATAGCGCGCAAGGCCTCGGCGACGATGAGCGCAGCGACTTTGGTCGACGATCCGAAGAGCGGGGAGAAGAGGTCGAGGAAGAAGGCGCTGTCGTTGAAGATATCAGCGAGAAAGCGGTACTTCTTGCACTCGGGCTCGATGACGAGGCCGAAGCGGTAGGCGAAGCCGATGGTGGCGAGGCGGGAGATGCCGTCCTTGAGAATGGTCAGGAGGAGGGCGTAGGTGGCGGATGAGTCCGCGTCGCCGACGCCGAGGCCCTGGAGGATCGCGCGGTTGGCGAGCAGCGAGGTGATGGTGGAGAAGAAGGCCTGGAGGGAGTCGTAGAGCTGGTAGCCTAAGTAGTCTTTGGAGACGGAATCAGGGTAGCCGATGGGGAAGAAGGCGTCGGAGAAGACTTGGCGAATGTTCATTGTCAAGAGACGCGAGATTGTGGTGGGAGAATTCTCGGTGGGCATCTGGGTAGCTTGTTAGGATGTGAAGGTGAGCTGGAGCAGGGCCAGATTTACCTCGGTGAGGCGACCGTCGGAGTCGTGAAGCCAGCGGCGACGAATGAGGCCGGAGGAGTCTCGCTCGTCAATCACGATCGCCTTTGGTTCCTTGGACGACGCCATCTTGCTCGTCGCCCTCGAATTTGCGGGTGTTGTGAAAGGTTGTGTTGTGGCGATGGAGAGTGAGATGTGATTTGGAGAAGAAGGCAGAAAGTGAGGTGGGGTCGGTCGAAGGACGAAGGGTGAAGGCTAGGGAGAGAAGGTGCGACTGCAGATTCAACAAGGCAGCAACGCCCCAAACGACAAATCCCAGAAGAAAACGAGAAAATTGATGCGCGAAACTCGACAAGTAGCTTTATTATACGAATTGTTCTATATGTCTGGCTTTTTGCAGTGACTATTACTCAATTGAAAATTCAACTTTGGTCGCGCCTACCGCTTAGCGGGCTGGCCATCCTCGCCGACAAGGTAAATGTCCGACTTGATAGGACCCTCGCCAACACCGGTCTGAATGACACGGCTGACGCCGCCCTTGATGATGCCAGCGACGGTCTCATCCAGAGTGACGGGCGACTGCAGGCTGCTGGCGCCGTCCTTCCAGCCGGTGACGGCGCTCAAGACGGGGGTGAACGCGCCGACGACGGTGGCGGCGTTCTCCTCGAGGTAGTAAATGACGGCGTTCGGGCCAGCGTCGAAGGTGTACGCGGCGACGGTCTTTCCGGCAGCAGCGTTGATCTGCTCGACGGCGCGGATGGCCGCGCGGGAGACGTCGTTCATGTAGAAGATGGGCGGGTAGGTGTCGGAGCACGAGGAGTGGAACGAGTTGGAGTCCTTCATGGTGACCTCAGCGAACTGGGCAAAGTCGCGGCGCGCGATGGCGTCCTCCATCTCGGCCATGTGCTTGGGCACGACCTCGGCGACGCGCTGCTTGAACAGGCCCGACGTGGCGACGGTCTGCTGCATGCCCGAGGTGGACGAGACGCCCTTCTTGGCGGCGCTGACGACGAGGATGAGCGCGCGCATCTCGGGCCAGTGGGACGCCTCGGCGACGAGATCGGCCTTGGAGTCGGAGCCGTCGGCCTGCTCGCCCATGCGCCACGCGACGTAGCCGCCGAACAGACTGCGGCAGGCGGAGCCGGAGCCCTGGCGGGCGACGAGGGACAGCTCGGAGGGGGAGTCGGGCAGCTCGTAGAGGTCGGCGATGGCGCGGACGAGGGCGGCGAAACCGGCGGCGGAGGAGGCCAGGCCGGCGGCGGTGGGGAAGTTGTTCTCGGTGACGATCTTCAGGGGGTAGGTCGAGAGCTTGGGGAGGGAGGGGTTCTGGGCCTCGAGGGCGGCGCGGCGGGCGCGCAGCTCGCGGAAGCAGGCCTGGGTGCGGGCGCCCGAGACATCGGAGGATTCACCGTTGAGGATGAGGGAGTCGCCGTCGGTGTAGGAGGCGGAGCAGGAGGCGGTCGTGAGGGTTCGCAGGTCGGCCTGGGAGAGGGTGACGGAGAGGGAGCTGTTGGTGGGGAGGTTGAGCCTGGCGTCGCGCTTGCCCCAGTACCTGTGTACGATTAGCGACTGTCGGATAGAGGGTGAGCTTGGAGATGTGCGTACTTGACGACGGCGATGTTGACGGGCGCCGTGGTGCTGGCGCGGTAGACCTTGGTGTCGGCCATTGTTGCGATGGTGTTTGCGTGCTGGAGGCGGTCAGAAATGGTCGAGGCGGGGCAGCAAACGCGGTGAGGGGCTCGCCGGATTGAAGAAAAAAGGGGAGTTGGTTGGGGGAGACGAACCGTCGGACTTGAAGTACTTGTAGCAAACTGGACTCGTTCAGCTCTGCCGCGGCGCAATGGGTATCAATCGTCGAAAGGGCAAACAGGAACTGGGATGAAGACGGACGAAGCCCAAGGCCCGTGTGCAGCCGGCACCTCGCTGAGCAGCTCTGCAACCCGCTTGGCGGGGTTCGTGAAGTTCCCTTCAGCAAACAGAAGTCCTCTCAATTTGGCTTGACATGCGATCCTTGCCCGAACAGGACTAGTGCGGGGTCCCGTCAGGGGGATAAGCACTGCGACCCCTAGGGTCCGTGGGCTCGAGCTAACCCGCCAGGGTAGGACCGTTTGTGTTTGGCGGGAACGGCGGCCGAGACAACTGCTGAATTCCATTGCCTTGACGGGTTGGATGGCAGAGACTACCCTGTTTGAGCTTCTTCGTTGATGACGGCGACTCTCAAAAGTTCATCATTCTAGCTTATAGTATCACATATCTCACGGTAAAGGTCAGCAACAACAATCACATGGCACAGAAGAGACCAATATTGGTTTTGGACAAATGTATTGGAACAGTTTATGTAAGCAATACGGAGCAAGTTGCGAGTTGAAGTTGTAAGTTATGAGTTGAAGCTCCAAGTTGTCCAAGCATTTCCTCCACATCACATGAATCACCTTTGATCCACCACCTTGATCCCAACTAACCATCGTCATCCATCATTAACCTCATCATCCATCATCATAATCCACATCCATCATTATCATCCATCATCAATCATAAGTCATGAACATGATCATCATCTATCACCATCATCACCCTCCATCATGCTGGGACCTCACGAGACACAGGCTCGGCAGACAATGGGGCCTGGAGTCCTTTTGCTCAACAGGTCGCGGCAAAGAAGCCCCAGCTCCATCCTTCCATTCACTCAGGCCGAGATATCTCGACCACTGGTTTTTTTTCCGGGTTGTTTTTTGTTGTTGGGCGCTCCTCAATGTGGTATCCGCAAGCCGTTGCAAAGTGTTCCGGCCACTATTCCGTTTCTGTTCTTGTTTTTGTTTGTTGTTTTGGTTGTTGGGTGTTGTTTAATGCGGTGTCTGTCCGTAGTCCACTGCGAAGGTGTCCAAGCCACTGGTTTTGTTGTTTTGTTGTTTTGGTTTTTATGTTGTTAGGTGCCCTTTAAAGTGATACTCGCAGGCTGCTGTGAAGATGTTCCAGGCACTGGCTGCTTTTTTGGTTGTTGTGTTGTTGTTGGGTGCCTTCCAATGTGGTATGCGTAGTTCCAGCCACTTGGTTATCTTTTTTTTTTTTTTCTTTTTTTTTGTTTTCCTTTTCTTTTCTTTTTGTTGCTGAAGGGGGCTTGTTACCATGATGGTCAACCCTAATGACTGATAACTGAGATAGTCCTGTACGGCCATCGCTCCTTAGGATGGCAGGGCTGGCGGTACGCAGCAGATGCCGTTGTCGTGTTTTCTTTTGTTTTGGTGGGTGGGTTGACCTTGTTGCTTGACATGAGCCGGACGCAGGGCTAGCTGGAGGCGGGACATGGAAAACGGGGGCAGACGTCGACTGAGATAGAGACAGACAGACGTGATAGTGCCGGCGGAAGAGGCGCTAGTAGTCGCGGAAGTAGGAAAGGGAGGAGTTGCGGCCCATGTTCTCCTCTTCTTCCGCAGTGAAGCCCCAACCCTCTTCTATGCGGTTGGCGATGGAGTCGGCCACGGAATTGAGGAAGCCAAAGTCATGGGACCACCTGGCCTCGCGCATCAAGTCCTCGACCTGGTGCTTGTCTTGGACCTCTAAGTCGATTGGTTGGCTGAGCAGCCATCCGGTTCGGTTGCGTTCATGGCAGTGGATGCGCTTCTCCACGAGACGGAGAAGGAACATGAGGACGTTCTCGTCGCGCTCCTTGAAGGGATAGCTGAGAGCGCGGACCCCGATGTCGAAAGCGTCGTTGAGAGCGTCGCCGGCGGGTAGCTTGCTGTCTGGGCCGTTGACGAGGTTGATGTGGCCGAAACGCTCGATCCAGAGATCGAAGTTGGAGGTGCGGGTGGCGAGCTCATCCGGGGTGAGGGCTTGGAGAATCCTGGCCTCGGGATCGGAAACGGGCCACTTCGGGGTCACCTTTTCCTTGGGGTCCTCGTATATCTTGAGGTCCTCGTAGCAGCTCTCCGGCGCGAGAAGGCGAGAGCGCTTGTGCCTGGGAACCGGCTCGCGCTTGGCCAGGAGGTAGTCGAGGTTGTCGGGGTTGTAATGTAAATCCAGCTTTTCCAGCCGCAAAGAAGTGGGTGAATGGCGGGATCGAACGTTCTTCTCCACACGGTACTCATCACTGCGCTTAGAGGGGAAGCCGCGCAGTTCTCTAACACGCTTACTGACACCAAGAGCCATAACGGCTTTATTTGTCTTGCGAGCCAGGGGGCCAGCGTTAGCGGACCAGGCAAGAGAGTTCATTATGAAGTAGGTGGGTGGGAGATAGCGTAATACGTGAAGTGAGAAGTGAAGGTATTGTGTGAGGTAATAAGCGAAGGTAGTGTGTAAAGTAGTAAGTGAAGAAGTTCGATGTCGAAAAGCGAAGGATTTGTAGTATGCCTCGAGAGGATGAAGAAGGAAGGGAAAGAAGGACAGCAGCAGCCCAGAGGGAATTTCAGCTTAAGTATCATTCCTGCTCAATGGACTTGTCACCATCCATCCATCTACGACTTTTCCTGCCATTAAGGTCAGGGACTCATGAGCTCTCCAAAGTTTTCAACTATCATGGGATGTATGAAAGGTGACAGTAGAGACTTCACTGAGGACTACAAAGTTGACATACATGGATGGAGGTGGCGTAGTAACCTTCAAGGGTGAATGGTAGAGGTAACGGAGAAGTATGGGCAGCGAAAACCCCAGAAGAGAGACAACCTACATACACGAGCAAGAGACCGCAGTGGAGATAGCGAGGCACAACAGTGATTACGGGGACGGACTGCGGAGACAATTCCTAGCGACTACAGAAACAACTAGAAGTTGATTAGGAATGAAAAGCACCTTGCAGACAGGAATGACTAAGTCTTTTGCTCAATTGACTAAACTTTCTTCAAGACCTTGCCAACTGACATTAAAGTCTCGGGCTTCCAATGACTCAGCCTAAGGCAAACTCAGCAGACTCAGCAATTCAGGTCCATCGCAACCTCGAGGGATCAGTGGCTACATACAACAAGCTCCCTGTAACAAAGCAAAACGAAACGCAAAGCGACTCGTGACTCATATTGCTCTCCACTAAGTCGCAAAAAGTTCTTCACCTTTGTCCAGTACGGTCCAGGTACGCTTCCCAACCTTCCCTCCGGTACCGAATAGCCTCGGCGACCGGAGAGGTTGCCCCAAGAATACCTCTTCCAGCAATGATGAAGTCCGAGCCGCCAAGGACCGCAGACCTTGGTGTCTGGTACTGCTGACCAAGCTCATCCCCCTCCGCGGACCTGTTCACGCCCGTCGTAAAGGTCACAAAGTCCGCACCCTCTCCAACTGTCGTCAAAGCCTTGGTGGCCACGAACCCAACGACAGACTCGGGGTACCTCGCGGCCATCTCAACGCACCTCTCTGTGTACTCGCCACCGGCCAGACTACCTTGGGAAGTCATCTCCGCTAGAAGCAGTAACGCTCTTTGCCCCTGAAATGGGAAACTAGGATGCTTGATGGTTTGGTCGAGCGCGTCCACAATGCCCTCCCCGCCGAGGATGGAGAGGTTGACAATGTCTGCCCATTCGGAGATGCGCAGCGCACCGCCGTGGTACTGCCCGATGACGGTATGCCCGATATCAACAAACTTTCGGTCCTCGAAGATGAGGAAGTTATGTGTTCGCGCGATGGCTCTGAGGCCATTGATGGTGAGGTCGGAGAAATCTGATATCATGTCGATATGTGTCTTGAAGACGGCGATGTATGGTCCTATGTCTGGAACATGTTATCTTAGCAGGGAGGTCAGCTGTCAAGAGCACGTATGGGTAGCTTACCATAGGCACATTTTAACATCTCTGCGGTGGTTCTAAAGTCGGCGGAAATGATCAAATTCGACTTCTTGGTTTCGGCGATCTCGAACAACCGTTTGGCGACTGGGTGTGGATGTGTTTGTGCCCGCGCATGGTAGGCCGCTTTCGGATTGCACCCGTTGCTCTCGGTCTCGGTCTTCATTTTGTCGCTGCCCACCCCATGAAGGTGGTGATGCTAAGTGATGGATGCGGGCATTGTAGAAATTTCATGGGAGGGTGCGAAGGTGACTATCCAGGTTCATCATCCGCCACCAAAACTTTGTCAGCCAAATACGTCCATGCACCTTTGCCGATGCATGTTCGAGGCGAACACACAGTGTCCCAGGTTGCGATGTTGTTAATGAAGTTTCGTCTCGACACACGCCTGTATATGGATTTGAGAGGTGCAAGAGGACGGCATATGATGTTACGTGTTGACTTACATACGGCATGCATTGTGGAGGATGAAAGAACATCACCAGCATCAGAAGCTCACTGTTACTGAGCTGCGAGGAGGTAATGATAGCAGCAGATAGATACGCTCAGGCTACGGTGCAGAACACATGCGCTGTGGTGCCACGACGACGGAAAGCAGGCATGGCTCCCAGTCTCTGTGTAATCGAGACACACTCACTGACATCCTTTTCTGGCTTATGGTCCGTGTAAGCACTGCAAATACTCGAATTAGACGGCTATGACAGTCATACATAGCAACTCTAGCAAACATGCAATTATAACGAGGTTGTTGAAGCAACCTATAGGACAGGTCTGGAACGAACGTCAAGGCTTCAAAATTACGGGCCTATTATTTCCAATCTGTTCTGGAGAAATGCGCGACTGCTGTTAACCAGCGAATGTGGAATGCTAGGGACCATATCCATAACTGTTCTATGTGGTCA